ATCTTTAGTCATTAAAATATGTGACGTATCGAAATTAATTTTAAAATTATTTAGATTATTTAAATCCAAATTATTGATCTTCAAAAGTTTGTGTTTTCGCTGACGTCATGAATGTACGAAACCTTCCGTTTAATAATAAAAGTGAAAAAACCACAAATGTCTGTACAAGAGGAAACATGCTCGTTTCTCATTTGTGGTCAATAAATCTACCAAAGACAAGTATCACACTCACTTTGTCCAAAGTGGTAATAAATACTGGATCTATTGCCTACCAATTATTGCATCAACCAGACTTGCTGGAGACTTTATCTTTACAGGAATGATAGCAGTAAATTCCTTGAACTAAATTCTTTATAGAAAAGCATTAAGGAAAATATTATCTTTTAACGGCTGTATAAGGTCATTTGCATCCTTTACACATATATAAAAAATATAAATTACCGTAACACAATCGAATTATTATATGTCTAGTAGAAAATTGTTCAAAGCTGTCCTGCCTACCAGTGGCCAAGCAGTTCCGAAACGCTCCCTGAACACTGGGAAAATTATATTAACAAAATTATGATATACAATTCAAACAACTAAGTTTGTTATTCAATAATAGAAAACAAACTTTTATAAAACTTCTTAAACATAATACTAATTTCTTTATTCCAGAACATAATTAAATGTAAAAAGACATAAATTGCAATAAAAAATTAATGCTAATCAACTTTTTTGCCTATTATCAAATCTACAAATATATTTCGTTATTTTTCGAAATCTTTATATTAATCACATTTTACTATGATAATTTTATTAATATAATATCTGTTAATCATAAAATATCAACGTTTTTTTATCAAAAAAAATTGTTTGATCTTTTATGAAAATATTAAATTCACAAGAAGTTAGTATTTAAGTTTAGATCGCATCTTTAAAGAAAACATTCCTTCTTCAGTTTTTAATATATCATACATCTTGGGTGTAAAATACACGGTTCCTATCAAATTGAATTTTGTCCAACATTTCAAAAATTCTTTCTGTATTCTGACGTAAACGATAACAGTTTTCATATCCTTTTTCAAATTGTCTGAGATAAATGCAGCCAGATCCAACTTGGTTCTCTTTTCTTTTTTATCTTATTCAACTATTTTTTATTATATATATATATATTTCAGACCTTCATAAAGTCTTAAGAAATCTTTCAAGAAAATTCGTCTTTTGATGTGGCTTTTTTCTTTGTATATCTTGTCAATCCTTNATTGATGATAACATTGGTTGTCTTTTGAGCAGAATGGGGTTTACAAAAGGACTGTACAGAGGAGCCTACCAATCAAAATTTAATTTAAAAAGTGTATTTTAAAGAATTTAGATTATTTGGAAAGACGATTTTCGAGTTTATGTTCATTAGCTTATTGCATGATATCTTTTTTCCAAAATTTGCAGTTATTAATCCACAAGTCTGCAGCTTAACACCATGCAAATTAAATGAGGAAAGTCAGCAAGTAAAATCTTTATTAAATAACTTCCTAAATGCTTAGTTCTATAAAATATCACATATATTATCCTCAAGAATTGCGTAAGATAATTAAACCTTAATGTAAACTGTGTAATTAGCCTGATATCTTTCAATTGTTTAAAGGTTAAAATCGTATACATAATTATAAAAATATTTAAAATAATAAATTAAGATTAAAAAAATAAGCAATTCTTTAATTTTGAAGCGAATTTATGATAATGAAAGAAAGAATAATTTTAAAAATAGCTTCAGGTTCTTGATTAAGTGAAATTTTTACTGTATAAAATTATTTAAAAAACGGAGAATAGATATTTGTCTACTCTTTAAACAAAACAAACAAAATCTGATTACTAAAGTATCGATTGCAAACGACTAATTAATTCTTGGAGAAGTTTTTTTATATGTAATGGTTGATTGAATTCAATTTGAATTTTTCTTTGAGGGGAATTCAATAGCTTAAATTAAGCTAAGTACAAGAAAAGTATATATCAAATAAAAAATGAGTTAATTATGGCATAATTTATTGTACAGTTTATTATGCACTTTTTAAACTTCCGATCTTTTAATAAAGGTTGAAAAATGATCGCAAATTTTTTTCTCTCTCTTAAAAAATCCAAAAAAGTTACATTTATCCTAACGTTTTTTAAAGTTTTACGAAGAATTGTTAATTTAATCATAATTTTCATAATTCTGTTACTTTTTAATGGAAAAAAAGACCCTTTGATCTTTTATGAAAATATTAAATTCACAAGAAGTTAGTATTTAAGTTTAGATCGCATCTTTAAAGAAAACATTCCTTCTTCAGTTTTTAATATATCATACATCTTGGGTGTGAAATACACGGTTCCTATCAAATTGAATTTTGTCCAACATTTCAAAAATTCTTTCTGTATTCTGACGTAAACGATAACAGTTTTCATATCCTTTTTCAAATTGTCTGAGATAAATGCAGCCAGATCCAACTTGGTTCTCTTTTCTTTTTTATCTTATTCAACTATTTTTTATTATATATATATATATATTTCAGACCTTCATAAAGTCTTAAGAAATCTTTCAAGAAAATTCGTCTTTTGATGTGGCTTTTTTCTTTGTATATCTTGTCAATCCTTCGTAATTCTTTTTATTTTTATATTTACAATGTTTCTAGAACCCTCGGCTCGGTACATAATCATAACTTATTTTATAAAAATATTGTCTTCGTTGATTTTTTATTTCGACAAAGCAACAAAACTTAATCTTGGTTCAATTTTGACAACATTTTCCTTATTTTGTAAACATTTTTACGACTTCGGCAATCTCTACGAACTTCTTAATTAACAATTACTTTTACTATATTTATTCTCATTAAATTCTAATTAGTATGTTAAATGGAACAAGAAAATTATAAAATATTTAAAATTTCAAGTTAAATATTGAAGTAGGTTCGTAAACTTTAATACTTTTTAAAAATTAATGGTTTCATTTTAGCGACGACTTCATATTCATTACTTGTAATTAATATTAAAACTGATATGCAATTCGTGCATTAATAATATTCATAAATGCTTTCTAAAAATTAACCCATTTGATAGATTTAAGTATCTATCCAATAATTAAAGTTAATATTTTACTATATTAATATAATTATGTAATTTCCGAATACATTTAACTTTATTTTATTTTTTCTGGCATATAAACTATAATTAAGTAAAACGGAAAATCCAAGGATTAACGCTGAAATAATACGGAAATGTAACTTTTAACATTAAAGTATAGAATGTAAAATATAATTTTTTAAAATTTATAATGAAATGTGATTAAATTTTAACATTTCCATTAATGTATTTGTTAAAATAAAGATAAAATAAGTTAAAATTAAAAAAAGATAATGTTAAAAATATGTACAGTACTTCAAATATCAAATAAAATTATTACATTAAATATTTATAAGCCATATTTAATAGATTTATGACTTAAGTATTACGTTCATAAATAAATTTTTATCATTTAATTATTATAAAGTAGTAAAAGTTGTTAATTTAAACACAATTGTACTAATTTAAATTCAAACTAAAAATACTTTTTAATATTCAAATTTTTTAACGTAAAAATTAAACATTTGTATTTATTGAAGCAATAATGAGACTATTTTAAGTGAGGATGAACAAGATTCCTTTTGAATTAAACGCTGATATCTTTGAGACGATCTGAAGGAATTTTGCAGAATTGCGGATAAAACCGAAACCCTTGCAGAATAGTTAGGTGATGTGATACGGATAAGTGTGACACCGAATCGCAAGTATTTGTGGAATTCTGCGTTTTGCAAGTTCCTATAATAGTGAAACTTGCTTTATATACAAGAAAGATATAGAAGAATATCTAAAAATATGAATATTTTTGTCATATCCATAACAAAAGAATTGGCATTTTGGAAAGCCGAGGATCGTTCAAAAGTTTACCGATCACTAACGTTTTTTCTTATATGTGTACTATTTTTCAATGTCAAATATAAATAACAGCGCACTCGATCTTCGTAAATAATTGCGAAAATTCTAAGGTTTTTCCGCTTATAAATTTATGGGTGTTGAAAACGATCGCCCTGTTATTTTTATTATACTTATTTCAATTATATTTTTATAACATTTCTCCTGCGCGATGCGTGCGTTATGAAATATAGCAAATATTATTGAAAAATAAAATGATTGAAAGAGCTTTCAGCTTTTATTTATTGTTATTTTTATAGAAGTTTAGTATAAATGATGTTCTCTTGAATATTAAATAAACGATGTTGAAAGATATATTAGAGAAAGGTTGCCTAAATCTTATCGATTTGCGTTTTTTGTTTAAAAATATATTTTTAAAATATACATATTTATAAAAAAGAATATAAAGCGAAACTTCGTCATATAACGAAGCTTTATATAAAACGGAAGTTTATAAATGGCTTGTTTTTAGTATGCAAATATTAGAAATATAAATCGTATGGAGTAACATTGCAGATCTAATCCTCGTGATAGATTGCTATTTTGTTCCATTTTTCGACATCTGTGCTCTTTTCCTAACGTTACAACCCATGCATAAAAAATACGCTGTATCTCTTTATGCTTTAGTAGCATTTCTATAATCTCCATTTGTTTCATTTAACTTCTTTTAAATTTTCAGTTCTTCAACATTTGTATAAACAAGGATTATAATTCTCAACATTAATTACTTGTTGATCTCCTTGTCGTCATAGAAGCTAAATTCCCAATTCATTTTTATTGCATTGAGGTAACATTATATTATAGCAACGATTTGCATACAAAATCGAATGATAAAGTACTTTTTTTACAGAAATCAAAAAGCATTATCAGTATATGAACGGCATTTAAAAAACATTTAGGCAATCTTTCTATATAAATAGTTTTTAAAAATTGTTATTATTTAATTATAGATATTTTATATTTTCACCATAAATTTCAGCTATTTGAATCTTCTTTACCAAACCATTTAAACATCTGAATAACTGTATATAATTCAGTTATATTTCAGACTTACGAAGCCAGGGTGTATGATGAATTTGTAATCTATGGAAATACCGCTGTCATCAGATGTCAAGTACCTAGTTACGTTAGGGATTATCTCACCGTTATATCCTGGAGTCGAGACGATGGATTCGTAATAACGCCTCAACATAATTTCGGTAGGCATCAAAATATTTGGCTTTAAACGTAGATCTACAATTCATTCTTGTTCTGTATTATCGTACGCAGCAATAGAAACGAAGTTTGTGTTGTTTCCATCCGGAGAACTTCATGTTAGGAACGTTGGGCACGAGGACAGTCATGCTAAGTTTCGATGTCGAGTGAAAAATTCTATCACGGGAAAAAACATGGAAAGCATCAACACGGGGAAATTGGTGGTGACAGGTAATATTTATTATCCTATATAAAAATAAGGTAAGTTTCTTCTTCTTTGCCGTTAGCAGAATTTCTTTGGAAAACATTACCCTCCATCATTAATATTAATAGTTTTCCTTCATTTAAAATGATTAAGATTAATGATTTCACTATACAGAAAGTAATTAAATTAAGTCAGCATCGGAAAATGACGATCATCTTAAATGTTAGGCTATGCGAAGAAATCGAAGAATATAATAGAAGAAAATATCTCGGAAAATCCTAAAACTTCTGTTCGATTTATAATCTGCTGTCGCTCGAAATGTTCAATGAATATCTCTCAGTTTTCTTTCCATCAATAATGCACTCTGTCCCATCCATCGAGAAGAATAGACGAGAGATTTGGATACCATTTCGAATTTTAAGGAGAAAAGTTCCAGATTCTTCTTATTTTTTCATATCTTGCAATGTATATATACTATTTTATAGTCATTTCCAAACTGATTTCTCTTCAGATTTTAAAAATTTACATTGCTCCGACTGCAATCTTAATTACATTTTATTTTCCACTGGTAACTTAATTATTTTAAAAGTTGACGTTTAAATTACCGTACGGATTTTGTTNAATTCAAGAAAATTGCAATTATTCTTGTTATTATCAATATCGAAACATTAAAGTTTGATGTTATTTGCAATAAAACAAGAGAATAATTTAATTTATCGCTACATTATATAGTTTATTTGCTTCATTATACTTGTACAATTCTTTTCTAGAGTTAATTCCGAAACGTTATAAGAGCCTTTAAAACCCCAATCTCTTAATAACATTAACTGTTGTTTATACTCGTGTAAGCTATCAAACAGATTAATTGTCTAAAATTGCTTACAACAAACGTAATAGAAATAAATTCCACAATCAACAGAAAGAAATATTCGAGGTGATAATCAGATAAATTTATAATTACAAATTTATAATAATTTGCATATATTCTTACGTATATTACCGATTACTGAATTATTCATAGAGAATATTAATTACCATTAGTTATAAATGGTAGAAAATTAATCTTAATCCGTAATATTAAGATAAAAATTATATAAGTTCGCATTTATAATATTATCTTGTATTAGAACTTCAAAATTTTTTCCAACTAGGCCTACACGAGAATTCTGAATAATATTTCCAAGTGTCACATTTACAATTAACTTGTAAATTGAAATATAGAAGTAAATTAGTTGTATAATTATCAATCCACTGATACTTTCATAACTTGTGTAATTTCAAACGTGCAAATTACTATCGATATGCTATTTAAATGTTAAAGGCTGAACGCGTGTGATGTATTTTATAATTCTGTTTATTTTTCTACACAAAATAACTTAATTAACATCAATGGAAATTTAATTATCTATTAACTCTATAAACTCATTTCCAGTTTCGAAGAACGAAATAAACTGAATTAATAAAAAACAAATTTCTCTTAACTGTAATTAAACAAATGTGAAGTAAGAACGTAAATTAAAATCAATCAAAATCAAGAAAAATCGAATGTTAAGTAATTTATTTATAAAGAGAAATTATTAAAACTCGAAAATAAATAAAGTTCGATATTAACTTTATAATTTAATTCTACGATTTATTATTCTACGTATTTTATCTCTCGAGTTATCTAAAATAATATTTACTTTTAATTAATGACATTTAGATGATTAAATAACGAAGGTTTGTGATCTTTTTTTTTTTATTAATCTCTATACTCAAATGTATTAGAAAGTTATTTAATAATTTTTGAAACTAGCGATTCGAATGCTCAAAGACTGTGTATACGCTGGAAGTAGATAAAGATTGAAAGGTCTAAGTTTATTTTAAGTTATACTAAATGATGTAGAAAGACAAAAGATTTTATTCAGAATCTTCTTATATCGATAGATGGAAAGGAAGCTTCTTGATGTGGAAAGAAGTTTATAGTGCTTTAGTGCATTAAAGATTTTCTAGACTCATCTCAAAAGTTAGCAAATGAGTATCGTAACTACTTTTACTTTAAATGCAATTGACTCTGTCTTATGAAAATTTTAAGCAAGATTATTAATAATATCGATAATTAATCTTATAAATAATGTACGTGTTAAAGATTTTATAAAAATTAAAACGAAACTGATACAAAATTTTAAAAGATGTAAAAATTCGATATATTTATACAATAAATAAACTATGATAAAAAAAATTAAAATAAAAATCTTAAGAATTAATGTTAAATGAGTTTAAATGTTCATAAAATAATGTTATTTGTATGATTAATATTGTAATTATTTGTGAAATAGTTAGTATTAAAATACGTTATGCGATGAAGCGGGAAGGTTAAAATGAAAAAATGATATTTCATTATTATTTAAATATCATTGTAATTTTGAATATTATTCAAAAAGTGGAAGTGGAAAAAAATATGTTTTGATAAAATCCAATTTTCTTTAANGTAAATAAAGAAAAGGAAATATTAATGTCCGAATTATACTTATTTCAATTATATTTTTATAACATTTCTCCTGCGCGATGCGTGCGTTATGAAATATAGCAAATATTATTGAAAAATAAAATGATTGAAAGAGCTTTCAGCTTTTATTTATTGTTATTTTTATAGAAGTTTAGTATAAATGATGTTCTCTTGAATATTAAATAAACGATGTTGAAAGATATATTAGAGAAAGGTTGCCTAAATCTTATCGATTTGCGTTTTTTGTTTAAAAATATATTTTTAAAATATACATATTTATAAAAAAGAATATAAAGCGAAACTTCGTCATATAACGAAGCTTTATATAAAACGGAAGTTTATAAATGGCTTGTTTTTAGTATGCAAATATTAGAAATATAAATCGTATGGAGTAACATTGCAGATCTAATCCTCGTGATAGATTGCTATTTTGTTCCATTTTTCGACATCTGTGCTCTTTTCCTAACGTTACAACCCATGCATAAAAAATACGCTGTATCTCTTTATGCTTTAGTAGCATTTCTATAATCTCCATTTGTTTCATTTAACTTCTTTTAAATTTTCAGTTCTTCAACATTTGTATAAACAAGGATTATAATTCTCAACATTAATTACTTGTTGATCTCCTTGTCGTCATAGAAGCTAAATTCCCAATTCATTTTTATTGCATTGAGGTAACATTATATTATAGCAACGATTTGCATACAAAATCGAATGATAAAGTACTTTTTTTACAGAAATCAAAAAGCATTATCAGTATATGAACGGCATTTAAAAAACATTTAGGCAATCTTTCTATATAAATAGTTTTTAAAAATTGTTATTATTTAATTATAGATATTTTATATTTTCACCATAAATTTCAGCTATTTGAATCTTCTTTACCAAACCATTTAAACATCTGAATAACTGTATATAATTCAGTTATATTTCAGACTTACGAAGCCAGGGTGTATGATGAATTTGTAATCTATGGAAATACCGCTGTCATCAGATGTCAAGTACCTAGTTACGTTAGGGATTATCTCACCGTTATATCCTGGAGTCGAGACGATGGATTCGTAATAACGCCTCAACATAATTTCGGTAGGCATCAAAATATTTGGCTTTAAACGTAGATCTACAATTCATTCTTGTTCTGTATTATCGTACGCAGCAATAGAAACGAAGTTTGTGTTGTTTCCATCCGGAGAACTTCATGTTAGGAACGTTGGGCACGAGGACAGTCATGCTAAGTTTCGATGTCGAGTGAAAAATTCTATCACGGGAAAAAACATGGAAAGCATCAACACGGGGAAATTGGTGGTGACAGGTAATATTTATTATCCTATATAAAAATAAGGTAAGTTTCTTCTTCTTTGCCGTTAGCAGAATTTCTTTGGAAAACATTACCCTCCATCATTAATATTAATAGTTTTCCTTCATTTAAAATGATTAAGATTAATGATTTCACTATACAGAAAGTAATTAAATTAAGTCAGCATCGGAAAATGACGATCATCTTAAATGTTAGGCTATGCGAAGAAATCGAAGAATATAATAGAAGAAAATATCTCGGAAAATCCTAAAACTTCTGTTCGATTTATAATCTGCTGTCGCTCGAAATGTTCAATGAATATCTCTCAGTTTTCTTTCCATCAATAATGCACTCTGTCCCATCCATCGAGAAGAATAGACGAGAGATTTGGATACCATTTCGAATTTTAAGGAGAAAAGTTCCAGATTCTTCTTATTTTTTCATATCTTGCAATGTATATATACTATTTTATAGTCATTTCCAAACTGATTTCTCTTCAGATTTTAAAAATTTACATTGCTCCGACTGCAATCTTAATTACATTTTATTTTCCACTGGTAACTTAATTATTTTAAAAGTTGACGTTTAAATTACCGTACGGATTTTGTTTTAAAATAAACTCGAGCATAAATTCCTCATAATAAAAAGGACACGGATTAAAGGAGATCGAGCGTAGTTCTGTATGAGCAGGATTAAGTAAAAATGTCAAAGAAATGTATGCATGTACCATCTGATATTAAGTTTGCTTTATTTCTTTGCCGTTATTTTTTTCCCTTCGTATTCGTTATAGGAAGAGGCAATCTACAGTTCTACCTTCCCAGTGGAGATAGTAAGTCCTAACACCTAATGGCTGTTCTCTGTTGTTGTCTGTAAATCGTAATTCTGATTTAATTTGCCTAACGCTACTAACAGATGGTGCCGTTCCCCAAGCTCTTTCATCCTTTGAGAATTGAACGATTTTAAATTTCGCTAAATGTACGTCTTTCCGTTAATGAATGTAGATGTTGTTTTGTTATTGGGAAGTTTTAGAGATGATGAAAGATCCTTTGCTTACTTTGAAGTTTAAAAAAAAGAATGAAAAACAAAAGAAATGTGGGAATTTGTTCGAAATTTATCGATTAACTTTATACAAAATAAGTTATTTTATCGTAGGAGATTCTTCAAACTTATTTTTGTTCGATTAAGAAAAATCATTTTTATAATTAAAAGAGAAAAAATACTCTTAGATTATCACAAAGAGTATTTTTTTAATTATATACAAGCTTTTAGTCATTATTATAATTGAAGAATAATTATTAAACGGTGTCATTATGTAGAAAGCTCTAATTTACAGAATCATTAAAATTTTCTTGTTTTTACAAGCGATATTAAGCGATGTATACACGCAATAATCTTTTAAATAGAGTAAATTTAATAATATAAGTTGCATTATTAAGTATATGCGTAATATAGTTTCAAAAATGACCAATTTTCGTAAATTGAAAAATCAGTTTCTGAAGAAAATCTCTAACTCGATGTTTAGTATCTAAATATTTTTACCACCAGGATTATATAGTAAATTTATGAATTATTTCAGTAATAAATAAGTGTAGGGTAAATTTAAATATTGAAGATTATAGACGATAATATTTTATTGTTACTTATATAATAATCTTTTAAGTTCTTAGCATATTATATGAAATGTGTTTGGAATGCAACTGACACGTTCAAAACTATTTTCAATACTTCCATCATATTTAAAGACATGAAATTTTGTTTAACGTAAACTTCATAAATTGTTAAAATATAAGATTAATATCATTCTTCTAATAAAAAGTGTATTTAATTATTATTTAAATAAAGACATATACGCTTAGTCTTTATCGGTTACACTTATTCTGAAAATATTTGTTTATGTAGATTCTAATATTCGCATCTGTAGAGCCAGATCGATGAGTTTTCCCCACTTTTTTATATCAAAGCTTCTAGAACTTCTTGTCTTTCCTTAGCCAGCAACTTCCATTCCTTCTTTTATTTTTTAGTGCTAACATTAAGGCATTTTTGTGGTTGAGGTTGCTCTTAATACAAAAAACAATCATCTGTAAACTCTACCGTAAATAAAGAAAAGGAAATATTAATGTCCGAATGTAATTTAAGAATAATCAAATTAAAAATTATAGTAACGATTTGCATACAAAATCGAATGATAAAGTACTTTTTTTACAGAAATCAAAAAGCATTATCAGTATATGAACGGCATTTAAAAAACATTTAGGCAATCTTTCTATATAAATAGTTTTTAAAAATTGTTATTATTTAATTATAGATATTTTATATTTTCACCATAAATTTCAGCTATTTGAATCTTCTTTACCAAACCATTTAAACATCTGAATAACTGTATATAATTCAGTTATATTTCAGACTTACGAAGCCAGGGTGTATGATGAATTTGTAATCTATGGAAATACCGCTGTCATCAGATGTCAAGTACCTAGTTACGTTAGGGATTATCTCACCGTTATATCCTGGAGTCGAGACGATGGATTCGTAATAACGCCTCAACATAATTTCGGTAGGCATCAAAATATTTGGCTTTAAACGTAGATCTACAATTCATTCTTGTTCTGTATTATCGTACGCAGCAATAGAAACGAAGTTTGTGTTGTTTCCATCCGGAGAACTTCATGTTAGGAACGTTGGGCACGAGGACAGTCATGCTAAGTTTCGATGTCGAGTGAAAAATTCTATCACGGGAAAAAACATGGAAAGCATCAACACGGGGAAATTGGTGGTGACAGGTAATATTTATTATCCTATATAAAAATAAGGTAAGTTTCTTCTTCTTTGCCGTTAGCAGAATTTCTTTGGAAAACATTACCCTCCATCATTAATATTAATAGTTTTCCTTCATTTAAAATGATTAAGATTAATGATTTCACTATACAGAAAGTAATTAAATTAAGTCAGCATCGGAAAATGACGATCATCTTAAATGTTAGGCTATGCGAAGAAATCGAAGAATATAATAGAAGAAAATATCTCGGAAAATCCTAAAACTTCTGTTCGATTTATAATCTGCTGTCGCTCGAAATGTTCAATGAATATCTCTCAGTTTTCTTTCCATCAATAATGCACTCTGTCCCATCCATCGAGAAGAATAGACGAGAGATTTGGATACCATTTCGAATTTTAAGGAGAAAAGTTCCAGATTCTTCTTATTTTTTCATATCTTGCAATGTATATATACTATTTTATAGTCATTTCCAAACTGATTTCTCTTCAGATTTTAAAAATTTACATTGCTCCGACTGCAATCTTAATTACATTTTATTTTCCACTGGTAACTTAATTATTTTAAAAGTTGACGTTTAAATTACCGTACGGATTTTGTTTTAAAATAAACTCGAGCATAAATTCCTCATAATAAAAAGGACACGGATTAAAGGAGATCGAGCGTAGTTCTGTATGAGCAGGATTAAGTAAAAATGTCAAAGAAATGTATGCATGTACCATCTGATATTAAGTTTGCTTTATTTCTTTGCCGTTATTTTTTTCCCTTCGTATTCGTTATAGGAAGAGGCAATCTACAGTTCTACCTTCCCAGTGGAGATAGTAAGTCCTAACACCTAATGGCTGTTCTCTGTTGTTGTCTGTAAATCGTAATTCTGATTTAATTTGCCTAACGCTACTAACAGATGGTGCCGTTCCCCAAGCTCTTTCATCCTTTGAGAATTGAACGATTTTAAATTTCGCTAAATGTACGTCTTTCCGTTAATGAATGTAGATGTTGTTTTGTTATTGGGAAGTTTTAGAGATGATGAAAGATCCTTTGCTTACTTTGAAGTTTAAAAAAAAGAATGAAAAACAAAAGAAATGTGGGAATTTGTTCGAAATTTATCGATTAACTTTATACAAAATAAGTTATTTTATCGTAGGAGATTCTTCAAACTTATTTTTGTTCGATTAAGAAAAATCATTTTTATAATTAAAAGAGAAAAAATACTCTTAGATTATCACAAAGAGTATTTTTTTAATTATATACAAGCTTTTAGTCATTATTATAATTGAAGAATAATTATTAAACGGTGTCATTATGTAGAAAGCTCTAATTTACAGAATCATTAAAATTTTCTTGTTTTTACAAGCGATATTAAGCGATGTATACACGCAATAATCTTTTAAATAGAGTAAATTTAATAATATAAGTTGCATTATTAAGTATATGCGTAATATAGTTTCAAAAATGACCAATTTTCGTAAATTGAAAAATCAGTTTCTGAAGAAAATCTCTAACTCGATGTTTAGTATCTAAATATTTTTACCACCAGGATTATATAGTAAATTTATGAATTATTTCAGTAATAAATAAGTGTAGGGTAAATTTAAATATTGAAGATTATAGACGATAATATTTTATTGTTACTTATATAATAATCTTTTAAGTTCTTAGCATATTATATGAAATGTGTTTGGAATGCAACTGACACGTTCAAAACTATTTTCAATACTTCCATCATATTTAAAGACATGAAATTTTGTTTAACGTAAACTTCATAAATTGTTAAAATATAAGATTAATATCATTCTTCTAATAAAAAGTGTATTTAATTATTATTTAAATAAAGACATATATGCTTAGTCTTTATCGGTTACACTTATTCTGAAAATATTTGTTTATGTAGATTCTAATATTCGCATCTGTAGAGCCAGATCGATGAGTTTTCCCCTCTTTTTTATATCAAAGCTTCTAGAACTTCTTGTCTTTCCTTAGCCAGCAACTTCCATTCCTTCTTTTATTTTTTAGTGCTAACATTAAGGCATTTTTGTGGTTGAGGTTGCTCTTAATACAAAAAACAATCATCTGTAAACGCTACCGTAAATAAAGAAAAGGAAATATTAATGTCCGAGTGTAATTTAAGAATAATCAAATTAAAATATAAAAATATCAAAATTTTCAAAATAATTAAAACAAATTTCATGTAGTCGTTCAATTAACGAGCGAGTGCATTTTCATTTTTCAATTTAATTAAACATCGAGTATACATTGCAGCATTATTATTAATTCTCATTATTATAAATAAATAATAAAATTTAAACGGAGGAAGAAAATCAATTTATTTTAAATTATTTTCGAGTCCTTTCGAGCTTTGGCCAGTCTTATCTTATGCATTTGACTGAATTTAATTAAAAGATTTTATATTATATAANAAAAAGTGGAAGTGGAAAAAAATATGTTTTGATAAAATCCAATTTTCTTTAATAAAATGCTTTAGCGAAATAGCTTTATTTTTCTTTTAATATTAGGAAAAAATATTTTCCCTTGTGATTTTTATTTCAATATTGGATTTTGAATTTTTCTTCGTGTTATTGAATCGTATTGAAATTCTGTAAGATAAAACGAGAGATTCGAATTTACAAAAGTAAACTTTCTTTTATTATTATTTTACTTTTTTTATTGTAAAGAGATAGAAACGATTTATATAATCTTTTCAATCATTTTAAAATACAAAAATTTGTGTAATTATTTCAATTTTTTAAAAATACTCTTGATAACTCTAAGTGCTGTTTTTAAAAATAAATTTCAAATTAATTAGAAAATTTATAATAATGAACTGATAATTGTATCTTTATTGCTTAATGATAATTAATGATTGTGTGTTATGCAAATAATTAAAATATATCTTTTAAGACGAGATAATCTATTAACAAAAGACAGAAAGTAATTGAAAAATTGTGTATGTTTTTACAAAATAATTATAAATTATTGCATGCATATATTTCAAATATTGCAGAACCTCATACGAGCGTTCCACCAAGAATAACTCATTCAAGCCGTTATGTTTATGTGAAACAAGGGGATACAGCACTCTTGCCTTGCGCTGCCCAAGGGTACCCTACACCAAGCTATAAATGGCAAAAGAGGGACAAGGGACAGCTACTTTATGTTGCTCTGGATCGCAGAATAGAACAAGTTGATGGGACTTTAATCGTCAGTCGTGCAGAAATATTCGATTCTGGAATTTATATTTGCACAGCCAGAAACGATATGGGCGAAACTAAATTTGAATTACAATTGACTGTAAGAGGTAAAGTGTATAGTTATGTTTTTAAATGGGAAACTTTCCACTAAGTTAAATAATAATAATGTATAAACTGCTCTATTTTTTTTCTATCTAAAAATTGTTTGCCGAGAATGTAAAATGTCCAACTTTTATAAGTGGAATAACTGATTTATTTTTAATATTATTTTTTTTTCTTGTTTAGTTCCGTTAAGGGCAGCAATTTGGCCTCGACATCAAAAAGTCAGTTCTGGAACTTCTGTAACATTTAATTGTACGACAACGGGTCATCCAATAACAAATATGGAATGGATGAAAAATCAAAGGCCTGTTGTGTCCAACAGAAGAATTACTATCTCTGGGAATGTAATACACATCAATTCTGTTCAGAGAGAGAATATTGGTATATATCAATGTTATATATACAACGAGGAAGAATCTGCTCAAGCTTCTACTTATCTCAGCATTGCATGTAAGTCAAGTACTATATATGGAAAATGTTTCATTTTGTCTTCGAGAAAATTGATTTTATCTCCATTTGATTGGAATTTTTTTTTATCAAATACTTTGAGTTATCAGCATATAAAATTTTTGTTATTTCGACGATACTCCGTATTAAAAATTAAATTATTTTCCTTTAAACAGCAGAATCACCACGTATAATTTTGAAATTCGAGGAAGATACGTATAATCCGGGTGATCATATATCTCTTAGGTGTTCTGCAGCTGGTAATCCACTTCCGCAAATCACATGGTTTACTTATGGCATTCCAGTACAGGATACCGGTAGATTGCGTGTTGGTGATTACGTTAGTAGAGATGGCATCGTTATTAGTTACGTGAATATAAGTGCTGCAGAAATTGCCGATGGAGGTATCTACGAGTGCAAAGCTACCAATGATTATGGCACAGATTCTCATTCTGCTACTGTATATATTAGAGGACCCCCTTACATTAAACCAATGAGAAACCGTACGGTGATAGCTGGTCAAACATTAATTCTTCATTGTCCTATTTCTGGACACCCAATCAAGTCGGTGAGATGGGAGAGAGGTGAGTTTCTTCCTTTTCATTACATATAAAATTAATAAAAATTCTAAACTTGATATTTTTAATGGATGATGAGTAGAAACTATATTATTTTTTAAAATTAATCAATATTTAAATTAATTAAAAAATGGAAGTTGTTTAAATTAATTAAAATTTAAAATTAATAAATTAGTCACAAATTTTTAAAAAATTATTGTTAGCCTAATTAAATCAAAATTTGAAACGGGAATGTAGATATTAAATTAAGATATTCCGATTTATTTCCTGCTAATAAATCAAAACTTTAGAAGACATCATTTTATTAATTATAAAGATATTTAATAAGATATTGGATTAAGAAGTAAAGCTTATATACCTTCTTATGATCAACAATGTCAAGATAAGACAATTGCCCCGGGCAAAAAGATATCGAGTACATTTGCTAAGCTGATTACAAAGTTCCTTTGTTCTCGAGATGCCTTCAAGAAGAACTTCGATTTCCGATGTTTAGAGGTTAAAGGACTGTTATGTCTGCCGTCTAATAAATCAAATCATAAATAATTTTTTTTTTTTTGAATTCTCAAAAGAATTTTTTATCTACATTTTTTTTTAATTTAATGAGTGATTTATTAAATAAGTTTGAATAAATGAGATTTAACGCTCAATTTTGGATTCTCTCGAGCCTAGCAACTTGGGAATTGCCAGCGAGTTGCTATCATTCTTTAGATAAGATGGATGCGAATAAGCGAATATTGTTGCTAAATTTTAAGCAGGAGCATTAAACATTTATATGTTTGATTTATATTTATCTTTTATATGATTATATATTTGACACGATATTACATTCGAAATATACTCGAATTTATTTCTTGTATATCGGTAAATGGAAAAACGTTGTTAGTGCGCACAATATTTTCTATTATAAATATAATTGAATCACTCTTTTATATATTATTTTCTGATATTCAAATATATGTACTTATATTTCACGACTAATCAATATATTTTTTATAATAATCAATATATAATAAATAAATTTACTAGCCAATATATGAAGCAAATAATTTCAATGTTATGCAATTCTATAACATCAATATAAAACAAAATATATTGGCAATGTCACAAGTATTTACTTTCGTTCAATCGGTAGTAAGGTCGAATATTAAAAATTTACTTGATATACAACAGGCATTTTTCTATTCGGTACCTTTTTATGTGACATCTACAAGAAAATAACGACTTTTAACTCGATTTCCTAAGGAAATAAAGGCTTTTAAAGACCTCCCTGTCCATGTCACTTCCTTAATAACTTTCTGTTCCCTCGAGCCATTTCTAAAGAATTTCGAAGGTGCAGAAACCCCTGAAACTGTATGTCAATATAAATTTATCAACAATAGCTATATATTTGAAAGCCAGGCATATTTTTATAGCATAGAATTCTTTAAAAATTACATAATAAGGGATATCTCCGATATTATATATATATATATATATATATAATCTGTCAGTACAACGTCTATGAATGATATTTTTTTGAATAAAAAAGAATTGAAATCTTTGTCAAATCTGAAAACGTACTTAACTTACCGAATACCTTTTTCATGTTCGAATAATAAATATTATTGCTTGTCTCTGGTTATGTTAAATAAATAAAAATGTTAAGATTAAATTATATTTACCTGCTGTATAAAATTTAATTCATATTCCAGTAATATAATTTAGAATTTTGTGATTTTCTCGTAAATTAAATTCTAGAAAATAATACAATAAAATGTCTTCCAAAAATGATAAAAGAAAAACTCGGAAGAAATGTAGATAATTGAATACTTAATATTCTTCAATGTTATATTTATATTAATCTTATATAAGTTTTTTTTAGAATCTATTTTTATTTTTAAATATATTTTCTACATTAATCAGATATTGATGTACTAAATCATGTTTGCGAAGAATTAAATTTTATTTGCTCGTTTATAATAAATGAAATGCAAAGGATGTAAATAACATTAAAAATGTATTTTAAGTTTTAAATATTTCAATATTCTAATTTGTGAAAAGAATTAAATAGGAAAAAAAAAACATTAAAATAGCTTACGATATTATAATATTCTCAAATTATCTGTTTAAATTTTTGAATAATTTAAAAGTAATATAAAATTTGATTAAAGAGATGTTGCATTGGAGATAGAAGACTAAAATACCGTCAACACTTCAAATTCGCTGCTGTTAGGGGCGCAGAACCGTCGCGAAAATGGAAAAACCCAAACATTTCTACGTCCCTCAAACCTTAATTCTTAATAGTGTTGGCTATATTTAACAGAAAAAAAGTAAAAACAATACACTGTACTGCAAAAATAGAATGTTTTAATATTTAAAAATACATTATCAACAATGTAAGCTAACAAACACGCTTATACACAACAGACAGGGAGAGAGGGAGAGAGAGAGACAATACATGTACATAAGTGGTGCAATACATGTACTCGTACAGTATTTAGATAGTAATAAAATTATAAAAGTTTATAAAATACAATTATATACAATACAGTACTGTGATTTATAAACGTTAATAATAAAAGTTGTGAAAAATACAAGATACTCAGCACACTGAGAGACAAAACGTGTGAGTGAGGGTTGATTAATATTGAGACAAAACGTGGCATCCCCAAACAACGTAGTTTGCAGGGTTTTTTTTTTAATCTTACTGATACTTTTTATAATAAATTTATATATATATTTATTTATTTATGGTAGTAAATGATAAAATAAATTAACAATACATACATTTCATACATTTATGACTTGCTAAACTGATTTTTAGTTTTCTCTGCGATTTTTGGTTCAAGCCTATGAGTCTGCAGCTGTGAGTCTGCAATTTTTTATACTAGGTTGCAAAATTCAAAAACAAAGAAAAAATTTGTATTTAATCATTGATGGCAAACTTACGAATAATCGAATCCATAAAAGTTAAGTTAAACCTGCAAAGGTTGCGACTGTAAATAGAAGTAAAGCAAAAAAATAAAAATAAAGTTTATCTAAAAGAATCATTTCTTAATTTTAATAAAAGTAATTGCTGTATGAAAAACTAAAAGAACTAAATATTTTATTCACACTTGTAGTTGGGGTGCTATCTGTGTTCTTCGTGACCAATCTACTAGAAATGCATAGAATAATAATAGAATAATGTACTAAGAAGAGAAAAAAAACTGAAAATATTAATATTCAGCTGGAGAAATACCCGCATTAACTTTTATATTACATTATATCCTTTCTCAGATTGATTTAATTTATTTTGCTAACATTAATAACATTTTTAGCTATAGTTAAAAGGAATTTTTTAAAAAAGTGTCTACTATCACGCTCGTTTTAATTATTAAATATGTAAAAGTTTGCACTAGACAATTAATTTTTAATTGATATATTTACGTATAAAATTAAATTTTTATGTGTTGCGAAAATTAAGATTTAACAAATCTGTTTAAAATGTTTATAAAAAGTAAATTAAACATTATCTTATACGTGACTATGTATAGCAATTCTTGTTACAGGATCTATAATTTAATTTTTTGTAACTATTCATGCCAAAACGGTATTTCTTTCGGATTGAAACATTTTTTTTATCTATCAACTATTTAATTTTTTATTGAGTAACTGGAAGTATTTTCCATTTTAAAATTCAATAAATATTAAAACTTTTGACATTTTTGGGTTAAGTATCCAAAACTGTGTAAGGTGGAAGCATAAATGATACTTTCCTTTGTAATATCTTAGAAAAGTGATAAGTAGTTTGAGGCAAGAAAGGACTACAATATCTTGTGATTGTTGTATGAGAATAGAATTCCAAAGTAGGTCATACCAATTTGTCTCTTTTCAGGGATAAAACAGCTGCCTCTCGGTAGACGCCAAAAAGTACACTCGAATGGGACCTTGGTAATTCACCACGTAGATGGTAAAGAAGATGACGGACAATATCAATGTAGAGCAACTAACGATCAAGGATTGGCAGCATCTCGTAAGGTTTACATTAAAGTATTAGGTAAGTATCTGCTCGAAACCTATTTTTAAAAGGCTTTCAGCCAATACAACTTTTGTAAGTTACTACTAATTAAAAAAAAAATCTTTATTCGCGTGTAAATTAAGAAAAATAATAGAGTTAGAAGAATTATAAATTTATAGCTTTAATATTCTACTTTGAGTATTAATAAGTGATAAAATCCTAAGGATGAATTATGGCTCAGAGTAGATATAAATCCCTTAAAAGCAATAAAAAAATATGTTTGGAAGTATCGATAATCTCACTATGTAAGACGTTTCATATGAAATATGGTGTTTGGTTTTAATGCTTTTGTTAGATAACATTATCAATACGAGTGTTTGTCTTTTTAGTAAAAGGGGAAAAAATTGGTTTTTTAATTACATTTGAGAAAATAATCGAAGTCAAGTATTCACAACGGCATCCAACTTATTGTTTCCACTGAAAGATATAAGGAAAGCACTAAAAGTTACTTATTACTTAATTTTACTTAGTTAATTGTAATATTAAAAAATTAGTTTATTTAATATTTTTACGGTTACAAGGTCACTTAAATCAAAATTATATAATATNTAATGAATATTTTTGTAGAAGCAAGAGTAAATATTGAAATTGACAAAAATAATTCAAGAAAATTGCAATTATTCTTGTTATTATCAATATCGAAACATTAAAGTTTGATGTTATTTGCAATAAAACAAGAGAATAATTTAATTTATCGCTACATTATATAGTTTATTTGCTTCATTATACTTGTACAATTCTTTTCTAGAGTTAATTCCGAAACGTTATAAGAGCCTTTAAAACCCCAATCTCTTAATAACATTAACTGTTGTTTATACTCGTGTAAGCTATCAAACAGATTAATTGTCTAAAATTGCTTACAACAAACGTAATAGAAATAAATTCCACAATCAACAGAAAGAAATATTCGAGGTGATAATCAGATAAATTTATAATTACAAATTTATAATAATTTGCATATATTCTTACGTATATTACCGATTACTGAATTATTCATAGAGAATATTAATTACCATTAGTTATAGATGGTAGAAAATTAATCTTAATTCCGAATATTAAGATAAAAATAATTTAAGTTCGCTAAATATATCATTTATAATATTATCTTGTATTAGAACTTCAAAATTTTTTCCAACTAGGCCTACACGAGAATTCTGATTTTTTTCCCTTCGTATTCGTTATAGGAAGAGGCAATCTACAGTTCTACCTTCCCAGTGGAGATAGTAAGTCCTAACACCTAATGGCTGTTCTCTGTTGTTGTCTGTAAATCGTAATTCTGATTTAATTTGCCTAACGCTACTAACAGATGGTGCCGTTCCCCAAGCTCTTTCATCCTTTGAGAATTGAACGATTTTAAATTTCGCTAAATGTACGTCTTTCCGTTAATGAATGTAGATGTTGTTTTGTTATTGGGAAGTTTTAGAGATGATGAAAGATCCTTTGCTTACTTTGAAGTTTAAAAAAAAGAATGAAAAACAAAAGAAATGTGGGAATTTGTTCGAAATTTATCGATTAACTTTATACAAAATAAGTTATTTTATCGTAGGAGATTCTTCAAACTTATTTTTGTTCGATTAAGAAAAATCATTTTTATAATTAAAAGAGAAAAAATACTCTTAGATTATCACAAAGAGTATTTTTTTAATTATATACAAGCTTTTAGTCATTATTATAATTGAAGAATAATTATTAAACGGTGTCATTATGTAGAAAGCTCTAATTTACAGAATCATTAAAATTTTCTTGTTTTTACAAGCGATATTAAGCGATGTATACACGCAATAATCTTTTAAATAGAGTAAATTTAATAATATAAGTTGCATTATTAAGTATATGCGTAATATAGTTTCAAAAATGACCAATTTTCGTAAATTGAAAAATCAGTTTCTGAAGAAAATCTCTAACTCGATGTTTAGTATCTAAATATTTTTACCACCAGGATTATATAGTAAATTTATGAATTATTTCAGTAATAAATAAGTGTAGGGTAAATTTAAATATTGAAGATTATAGACGATAATATTTTATTGTTACTTATATAATAATCTTTTAAGTTCTTAGCATATTATATGAAATGTGTTTGGAATGCAACTGACACGTTCAAAACTATTTTCAATACTTCCATCATATTTAAAGACATGAAATTTTGTTTAACGTAAACTTCATAAATTGTTAAAATATAAGATTAATATCATTCTTCTAATAAAAAGTGTATTTAATTATTATTTAAATAAAGACATATATGCTTAGTCTTTATCGGTTACACTTATTCTGAAAATATTTGTTTATGTAGATTCTAATATTCGCATCTGTAGAGCCAGATCGATGAGTTTTCCCCTCTTTTTTATATCAAAGCTTCTAGAACTTCTTGTCTTTCCTTAGCCAGCAACTTCCATTCCTTCTTTTATTTTTTAGTGCTAACATTAAGGCATTTTTGTGGTTGAGGTTGCTCTTAATACAAAAAACAATCATCTGTAAACGCTACCGTAAATAAAGAAAAGGAAATATTAATGTCCGAGTGTAATTTAAGAATAATCAAATTAAAATATAAAAATATCAAAATTTTCAAAATAATTAAAACAAATTTCATGTAGTCGTTCAATTAACGAGCGAGTGCATTTTCATTTTTCAATTTAATTAAACATCGAGTATACATTGCAGCATTATTATTAATTCTCATTATTATAAATAAATAATAAAATTTAAACGGAGGAAGAAAATCAATTTATTTTAAATTATTTTCGAGTCCTTTCGAGCTTTGGCCAGTCTTATCTTATGCATTTGACTGAATTTAATTAAAAGATTTTATATTATATAATTAATAAAATCTGATAATACACGAAATATATTAGTTAGTTTAAACAGTGAACAAATTATAAGAGTTTATTAAGTTTCTAATGTAAAAACTTTAAAAATTTACTCCGGGAGCATTAAATTTGTATATAATATATATTATCTTTATTTATTAATCGATGTTTATTAGTCATCCGACTTTTGGCAAACGTTAATATTAAAATACGCTAAATTCAGACTTACAACTAATAAATATATTCTATTGGATATTAGACGGATAATCAATAGATTAAAATTTAATTTTGGAAAACTTTTTATCGTTAAATACCTCCGAGAATAAATTAGTTGGCGTATAAATAACTTCACAAATTCATGAGGACAAACAAAATATACAGAAAATGTTATAATATAAATAGAGAGAAATGAATTTCAAGTGAAGCTTTTTATATTTTTTCCTATAAGAGTACACATTTGATATATGACGGCATTTTAAATATTTAAGAGAAAAATAGTATTTCTTAAAATTTTTGAATATATATGAAAATTATTAAAATAATAATTCAAAGCTATAATATATACATTTTAAATTTAAAATATCAATTTTCAGATTTTTGTATAGAAAAACACCTGAGAAATATAAAACACATTGGTCACAATGCAATATCTGGAGTTAGTTTTATTTAATATTTTTCTATTTTAAAAATATTTTTGTGATTTATTATGAATAATTTTAATAAATTTCTAAGTATTTTTCTTTAGTTTAATATTATTTTGAAACTTTCATTACATTTCATTTTATTGACAAATTATTAGTAAATATAATTTTTCTGTTTATTTAAATTATAAAATGTATAACAAAAATAACAAATTTCGACTAATGAAATTAAAATTTATGTGCTTATATAAATGATAAAAAGCTAAATTATTTATTTATTATAAATTCAATTAAAAGTTAATGAATATTTTTGTAGAAGCAAGAGTAAATATTGAAATTGACAAAAATAATTCAAGAAAATTGCAATTATTCTTGTTATTATCAATATCGAAACATTAAAGTTTGATGTTGTTATTTGCAATAAAACAAGAGAATAATTTAATTTATCGCTACATTATATAGTTTATTTGCAATTATACTTGTACAATTCTTTTCTAGAGTTAATTCCGAAACGTTATAAGAGCCTTTAAAACCCCAATCTCTTAATAACATTAACTGTTGTTTATACTCGTGTAAGCTATCAAACAGATTAATTGTCTAAAATTGCTTACAACAATCGTAATAGAAATAAACTCGACAATCAACAGAAAGAAATATTCGAGGTGATAATCAGATAAATTTATAATTACAAATTTATAATAATTTGCATATATTCTTACGTATATTACCGATTACTGAATTATTCATAGAGAATATTAATTACCATTAGTTATAAATGGTAGAAAATTAATCTTAATCCGTAATATTAAGATAAAAATAATATAAGTTCGCATTTATAATATTATCTTGTATTAGAACTTCAAAATTTTTTCCAACTAGGCCTACACGAGAATTCTGAATAATATTTCCAAGTGTCACATTTACAATTAACTTGTAAATTGAAATATAGAAGTAAATTAGTTGTATAATTATCAATCCACTGATACTTTCATAACTTGTGTAATTTCAAACGTGCAAATTACTATCGATATGCTGTTTAAATGTTAAAGGCTGAACGCGTGTGATGTATTTTATAATTCTGTTTATTTTTCTACACAAAATAACTTAATTAACATCAATGGAAATTTAATTATCTATTAACTCTATAAACTCATTTCCAGTTTCGAAGAACGAAATAAACTGAATTAATAAAAAACAAATTTCTCTTAACTGTAATTAAACAAATGTGAAGTAAGAACGTAAATTAAAATCAATCAAAATCAAGAAAAATCGAATGTTAAGTAATTCATTTATAAAGAGAAATTATTAAAACTCGAAAATAAATAAAGTTCGATATTAACTTTATAATTTAATTCTACGATTTATTATTCTACGTATTTTATCTCTCGAGTTATCTAAAATAATATTTACTTTTAATTAATGACATTTAGATGATTAAATAACGAAGGTTTGTGATCTTTTTTTTTTATTAATCTCTATACACAAATGTATTAGAAAGTTATTTAATAATTTTTGAAACTAGCGATTCGAA